AAGGAGAAAAGAGGAAGTAAAGTGTGAATGTGTGTGGGTAAGAGGCATGAGATAATAAAGAAAATACTTTGGCATGGATGCAGAGAAAGCAAGGGCATTTATAAATGCCTACATAGGCAAGGTAGAAGCCAAATCATAATTGACTAATTGAAGTACAAGGGTGTACATTTAAAGTATTTTAAGTAAAAAAATTAAATAGAGATAACCTTAGTCCATGGTGCCTCCTAGTTGGAATAATATGTTTTTTTCCCAACTGCTTAATTATCTTTTGTAGCAGTCTCTGCTAGATGGGGTTGGGGTGGTGGCTGCAGGCTTTAACAATTCAAACAAGATAAGTCAGTGTGTCCTTCCTAAGGAGAGGCATTTCTGCTGTGGGAACTCTGCTGGAATTCTCCAGTCTGAGAGATTCCACCTTCTAATTACAAGTTCATCTCTGCTGTTTAGAGTGTCATTCTTTCCCGTGCACAGGGCTTCCTGTGACCAAGGCTCTGAGAGGATGTGGAATGCCTACCTGCCTATGTTGACCCTTGTAACTAGTAGGTCTCTTTCCAGTCACATCCACCTGAGACTGCACCATGTTCAGCAGCAAACTTTCTGAGTTACTATGTAGCTCATCCAAGCAGTCAGTGGTGGGGATTATACCTCTTTTTTTTTTTTTTCCAAAGATTTCTTAGTGGGCTTTATTTTTTTCATTTCAAATTTTTTTCTTTATTAAGAAATTTTCTACTCACTCCACATATCATCCACAGATCCCCCTCCTCCCCCCCAGCCCCCAGCCCTCTTTCCCAAGACACTCCACATCCCCACATCCTCCAAATCGAGGTCTCCCATGGGGAGTCAGCAGAGCCCAGCACACTGAGCCTAAGCAGGTCCAAGCTCCTTCCCCCTGCACAAAGGCTGTGCAAGGCGTCATACAGCAGGCACCGGATTCCCAGAAGCCTGTCCATAGACCAGGGACAGATCCCGATCCCCCTGCCTAGGTACCCCCCAAACAGTTCGAGCCAAACAACTGCCTTCCATCTTGAGTGAGGTAACCCCAGACTCAGAAGGACAAACATAGTATGTACTCACTCATAAGTGGATACTAAATGTGAGGGAAGGGATGGCCAGACTGCAACCCACAACTCCAGAGAGGCTAACTAACAGGGAAAGACTTTAGGAGGGACACATGGATGACCCTGTGAAGGAGAAGTGGATGAGACTACATGAGTGGACTGGGTGTGGGGGGTGTGGCAGAGGGTGAGGAGTGGGGGATAAGAACATAGGGAAATGGGATGGTCAAGCTGGAACAGGGACAGAGTGGGAGGGCAGGGAGGGAGATACCATGATAGACGAGGACATCATGGGAATAGGAAGAGGCAGGGTGCTGGGGAGGCTCTTAGGAATCCACAAGGTTGACCCCACCTTGATCTGCTGGCAGTGGTCCAGAGGGTGCCTGGACTGTTCTGCTCTGGTGACCGGTCTAGCAAATAACCTAGCTGTCATTATAGAGCCTTTGTCCAGTGACTGATGGAGGCAGAAGCAGAGATCCATGCCCAGGGACCAGGCTGAGCTCCGGGAATCCAATTGATGAGAGAGAGGAGGGATTCTGCAGGCGAGGGACGTCAAGATCATGATGGGAGGACGTGCAGAGATGACCGGCCACACTAGTGGAAGCCCATGAACTGTGGACTGGTGGCTGTGGAGCCCCCATGGGACTGGGATTATACCTCTTGGTCAATTCATTCCCAGCCACCCATGGATAATATCAACTTCAGGCTCACAGAGTACACTGCCGCCTCAGTCTGCCCAACTACATCTGCTTCAGAAATCTCTTCACACACGCTCTATCCAGCGCCCAGTTACATCTCCACAGCCTCGATAGTATCTCTCTAGATAGCTGTTCTTGTGGTGCCTATGTCTCAGAGTAGAGAGCCCCTCTCTGGTACTTCTGCTGTCCTGGACCCACTATGCTGTGGCTGGGCACCATCTTGGTTATTATTATTACTTTTTTTTACAGAGGAAAATTCCACTTGGGATATTTCTATTTTGTTCAACTTTCTCTGATAAGAATTGGATCAATTTTTTTTAATCCCATCTCAGGTGTTTTACCAGATCATACAGAAATGGGTTCTAATCTGTCATATATCACATAATTTAAAATACTTTCTTTGACCCTAACAAAGTAGGTTTTCTCATGCCATAAAGTACTTAACTAGTATCCAGTGTTAAGCGGTTACGTACTGTTTTGGTCCATAGATAGGTGGCCTATGGATCTTAATGGACAGTGCCACACAGACTTGCAGAGTTATCTTCACTAAGTCAATCTTTTCCCATCTATTTACTAAGTTCCCACCATGGGCAGATAATGAGTCCATAATGGCATATACAGTTTCTGTCTTTAAAGAGTCGACAGTCAGAAGGACAAATCGAGGAACTTGGAAATTGCCATCAAGCATGGCCAGTGCTACGCTGTAGACAAAGACATTACACGGCTTCCATGATTGGTAAGCAGTACTGGGAGGAGAGACGATCTTCAGTTCAACCTTTGATAGCTGGGGACTAATGTGAGGAAGTTAGACATTGAAGCTGTGCCCCTGAAGGAGCTATTAGGACCCTCACTCTGCCCCACGCCCCATCATGTGCATGTGTTTGAGGTTCTGGCCCCATATTCAGCTCTGCTCAGACCCATCTCAGCATGTCCATAATTCTTAGTTACTGGTCCACATAGTCAACTGCTGTGGATATCTCTCTATATAAATAAAACACTGATGGCCAGTGACCAGGCAGGAAGTATAGGCGGGACAAGGAGAGAGGAGAATTGGGGAAACAGGGAGAAGGGGAGAGAGACACTGCAGCCACTGCCAGGACAAGCAGCATGTAAAGATGCCGGTAAGCCACCAGTCACGTGGCAAGGTATAGAGTTATAAAAAAATGGGTTAATTTAAGATATAAGAACAATTAGCAAGAAGCCTGCCACGGCCATACAGTTTATAAGTAATATAAGCGTCTAAGTGATTATTTTATAAGTGGATTGTGGGACTGTGGGGCTTGGGGAACCTGGAGAGAAGCCCTCCAGCAACAGTCAACCATGGAGTTGGTGGTCCTTTATCACGTGTGGTTACCACCATTCCTTCCAGCAGACCTCTCTCAGATTACTTCCGGAAGGCAGAATATAATTCTCTTTTTAAGGGGCTGCTGGCATCTACACCTCATTTGGTCTCATCTTCTGTCTTATCTCCCTAGATTAAGCATTTTCTTTTGCTAAGCGAGAAGGCCAACAGGGCTAACAGAATTTGTCTTTCTCAATGTTTGGGCCATTTTGCTCCCTGATCCTAACGGAGAGAAGGCAAAGCCAGAGATAGAGTGTGAAATCATTTTCAGTGGCACAGAAATGCCACTCTTCTCAAAACCAAACGAGAGTACACATGAGAGGTGACGTGCTTCCAGAAAGGACACTCCAACCTCATGGTAGAGGGCTGCCTAGGTGAGCAGGTGGCAGGAGAAGTCTCCCCGGGGAGAGGAACAGGGTACCTGTGAAGACATTCTCAAGACAGCCCACTGTCTTGAGCTGAAGAAGGCACATCCTGGTCGGCCTCAGATGCCCTGGAATTCAAAACTAGACATAAATTGGAAAAAAAAATGCCTCTGCTGGAAAATGTGAGACATCACAGCCAACCCTACAGTTCCTTCCCAGAAAAATGGCATGCATGGGTGCCATGTTTTTCTGAGATGGGTGAGTATTGCTCATGTGCATGGCACAACAGTGTTTGTCCTGGAACTACCGATTGATTACAGGGAACCAAACCAACAGTCAAACTTGTGCTGGAAAGAAAACTTTAAGACATGGAGCCCAGCAGAAACATAAAACTACCTAAGAACTTAAGCCAGCAAAATCCCTTTGAACAAGTGTAGGTTCAAGGAGCAGAATTGCTTGGTGAAATCCTGGCTGTGTGTGCTGACTTGAATCCATTGATGCTTATGGGCACAGGGAGCTCCCGAAGTAGAAGTACGGGGGTAATTGGTTACCATTTAGTAAATTCAAAATTACCCTGATATTCTGGGTATCCTACAGCCAAAATAAAAACCTTTCCCCAGAGCTCTGTGAAGCCCTGAGCTTTTCACAACCCAGGCTGCAGTTGTGGGCTGACAGGATTCTTATGAGACAAGATGATATGGAAGTTCACAACCATGTCAGGAAAAGAGATTCAGCTGAGAAAGAGATTCTCTGGCTTGGCCTCTCAGAGAGAATTACAGCCAAGTTATTATGGGAAACACCCAGGTTTCTACCTACATCCTGTGCCTGTCCCCTAAAATCAGAATGCTGGCTCACTATATGTTACCCCTGTGACAACAAACTCAGAGGGACTTGAAGTATAAAACAAAACATTGTTTTAATTAAAAACTATTTCGACTGTCTGGAGAGATGGCTCAGCTTCGTTAAGAGTACTTACTGCTCTTCCAGAGGACTGGAATTCTGTTCCCAGTCCCCACATATGTGGCTAACAACTCCTGTAACAACAGCCACGGGGGATCAGATCTCCTTCTTGGCTCTACAGGAGCCTGCATGTGCTTGTACCTGCACATAGGCAAAGACACACATGCACTATGAATCAATTTTTTTCTTAAAATGAAAAAAAAAAAAAACCCTGGATCCACCAGGCCTTTCAGAACACAGCTTTAGGGAGGAAATGACAGGACAGAGGGAGCATGGGGTGAATAGGTGCTCCCCTCAAACACAGCTGAAGACTCAGGCCCATAATGGCACAGTTGTGGAGCCAGCATGCTGTGTGCTGTCTTCCTCCCCCCCCTTTCTCTCTCTCTCTCTCTCTCCCTCCCTCCCTCCCTCTCTCTCTCTCTCTTCAGCTGAACGCTTTAAAGCTCTGATTTCAAGGACACACAGGCAGCCAGGAAGGAAGTAGGGGTGCTGACAGCCTCACCAAGAACCCAGCAGATGGAGGAAGTATTTCAAGGGCTGTCAAGATGGCATTAAACATGCGCCACAGTCAATCTTCCTAGAAATGCTTTATTTATCAAATATTTAAAAACACACAGTTTGCTTTGTGAAGCAAGTTTACAGCAAAATCCATGGCCTATGCAAGCCGTGCGTGCAGGATGGCAGACGTCCTTGCCTTCCAGGCTCAGACATGGCAGAACCCCCAAAGTATGGGCTCTAAGCCAGTCCTGGCCCCTCACAGTTCTCACACTATGAAGTGGGTGCACAGGGCATGGGAGCAGGAGGGCGTGGCTGTCTTTCTCTGTGAGGTTGGTCCACCTTGAGGAGAGGGAAGCATATAGCAGTGTCTAATAGAGCTGGCCTGCCTGCCTTTCTCTTCTCGTCCACTGTAGTAACCTCTGAAGACACGTTTCTTAAAGCAGTGAAGATAGATCCAGAAAATCGATCTTCCCTGCGTTCATGTGACAGTGAGCAGCAGTTAACAAAGACTAGGTGAGTCCCCCTTACAGCGCAGGGCTCAGCTACTGAAGAGGCAGCTTGCTTGCAAAAAGATGTGTGTGGTAGGGCAGCAGCCACTTGACTTAGGGAGATAAATAACAAAAAGGAAGGCTTTAACAATTTCACAATTTCCAACAAGAACAACAAAAAAATATTGACCAGTAGGAAGGACAAGACTGACTGGAATGAAAGGGCAGTTAAACCTTGTTTGAATTGTTGTCAAAATGTCACCCATGCAAAAATAAGTTCTTAAAGCAGTAGTGAAGGCCCTTCCTGTGTAGGACATGATGCCCAGACTCCCAGAATCCTCTACTCCTGGGGCTCACACTCAACTCCTCTACAGAGTAAGGGCACCTCACACGTGCCTTAATCAGCTGCCAAACTCAGCCTGCTGGCATTCCTTGTGCCTGGCATACAGCCACTCAGGCAGTACACCCAGGCCTCTTCACAGTGAAGCAGGCCCATCGCTGCTCCAATCCCAGAGTCTATCTGCATCTCAAAAGGTGGTTTCTATCACCTTCTTCGTCCAGGACAACAACAGAGGGGTTTGGGGCTTTTAGTTTGAAACTATAGACATTAATAACTGCTCAAGGACAAGAAACAAGCTAACAGTATGCTCCCACGAAACTTGTATACTTTCTCCCTGTGATGGAGTGTTCCACAGCCTCCCTCTTCAACGGTGTCCTCCAACGAGGGCAAACTAAATTCCAGTATGTGCATCCCACTTTGTTTCAATAGGGATGAGGAGGCCATTCCTTCCCATGTCAGGAGTGTTCGCCTGGTCATTCTGGGCTTCACCTTCCTACGGATCCCTCAAGGGTGAAGCCGTCAGCATGCATGGCTATAAAGTGAGACAAGACTTGGTGGTCCAAACCATTAAACATTTTCCAGAAAACTCAGCATCACTGTTAAAGCAGCATAACATTAAGGAAAAAGAAAAGAATTCACATGGCAGTTGGGGTGAAGCATCTGCTTAGGGGAAGAAGAGTCATGGTCACACAGGATGGGGCAGAGAGCTTTGGTGAAGCGCCAGATGTGGGTGTGGTTGAATGTTCTCCAGGATGCTAGCTACGGTTTGGGGCCTTGGGGAAAGAACAGTTCCCAACTTTTTCTTCATTTTCCCTTGGGATAATATACCCCAGAATGTTTTGCATCTATAAGATGTATAAATGACTTCAGTTCACGAGACTCAGTGGGCTGCTGGGATGCATCCACAACAAGTAGCTAATGAGATATCTAACCACAGCCAGGCACACTGAAGTAGAATTCCACATGCCACTCAAAAGATGAGGTAAGTCCGCATAGTTAGGTACATAAAAGTGTGTCAACATGTTTCCCTCTCTCTTTCTCTCTCTTTTTTTTTTAAAGGCAACTTCATGTATGTGTGTAGAAAACTAAAACTAAAATGTATTTTTGGAAAAGCCCAGTAATTTTGAGGCTTTGTCAAACTTATTATTGGCACAAGGAAGCATCTAATATACACAATAAGCAGAAACAGCCCCCTGAGTCTGCAGCTGTACAGTCAGCTGAACCACGGGTGTCCTGACAGTTCCCAACCTGCGCAAAGGCTCCGCCCCTCCAGTGTTGCCATGGAGACTGCTGATGGCCAACAAAACAAATAGAAGGGGAAATGTCACAGAACTTTAAAAAACTATCTCTAGTATTCAGTCTCTTGATTTCTTTCTCTCTCTTCCTTCCTTCCTTTCATTTCTGAAAAGAAAAAAACATAAAGCCAGCAACAATTCTAAAGAATGAGAGGCAAAACCAAAAGGGGAGACCACAAAAAATGCTTTCTAGTCATTGTTAGCTAGAAGGACATACAAACGTGTCCCATCGTATGTATCCTCGATGCTTTTTGGCTCAAGTAGGTAACCACAGAGTTCACCAGCTGGCTGTCAGGGAAGGCCAAAGAGGGGGAGCACATAGGATGCAGGGTCCACTTAGAGAGACTCTGCATGGCCTGGACACTGTGACCTAGACTGGGGCTGAGATTCAGGTCCCTTCACTCAGTGGGCGTGATCCAGGAGAACTACAGCTCCCCCATCCAGGAACACATTTCTCTGCGGGTGGGCACAGTAGTCTCCAGTTCAGACTTGACTTCCCTGAGAAATGGACCAATAATACTTAAGTCTGCCTTCTCTAGTCAGGGATTCACACTGACACAGTTTTCCAGTCTTCAAGCCGAAGCCAATCTACACCAGGCTCAAGCCAGCATTTAAGTACATGTAAACACATCACTGATTAAGTTTCACAGTTATAAGCCAGGGCACAGTCACCAAAATACCAGCACTTGTCAAGACCTGGATGACAGTCACTCTTGTGGGACAAGCTCCTCTGTTGAGCAGATAGAGCTGTTTTCTTCACAAATCCCTGTTGTTGTCGTTGTTGTCTTCAACTGTGAACCCACTTCTTAGTTCTTCCAAAGAAAAGGGGTGTCAATCAGCTGCCATGTCAGAGTATTTACAATGAAACAAAATCCTTCATGTGGCTGGCTCAAAGGCTGGCTCACTCTTGAATGGAGGAATGACGGAGGGATCGGTGGTAATCTGGAGTGCTAATGTGTTCAGGTATATCGTAGCCCCTCAGGAAATGTCCACTGTTTTGTTGAGCAAAATAATACAGTTGTTTGGCTAGCAGAGGTTCCACCTTTAATTAGACATTTTTTAAAAAGACATTAGTAGACATTAAAAACCATTCTCTTAGCGCCATACAGTTAACACATCATGAAATGTCCCTCAGACTCTAAGCAAAACCACAAGCTGTATAAGGTAACATAGCAAAGCATTTTCATGGTCAGAGCCATTTGAAAAGCCAGTTTTGTTTGCCCTTACAATACCTGGAATATAATATCCTGGGAATAGAATTCTTGGTTTTATAATTGAAGCTAAATATGGCATTTTCAAACCAATTGCCTCTCGGAATTTATTTAACTAAATGACTGAACATTATCAGGTGAAATGATCAAATTAAAAGGCTAAGTAAAACTTAGGATAAGTTAGGTTCATGAGTTTGACAGGGAGAGGGGATCACCCTGAATGACCAGATGACTGTGCAATATGCACAACTATGCTTATGAGCATAGATCACATTCCCAATCAAAGCCAGCCTTCACCAAGGCAGGCTGAATGATCTGTATCAACCAATCATATGTACATTTAGACTTTGTGTTATTTGATATATAATAACTGATATGGCTTCTCTGTGAGCACCCATATAAATTAAGTTTGTAATAAGAAAACCAGGAGAGTCCATGAGTATGCGCCCGAGTATCTTGCCCGTCTGTGGACCACATGGCAGCATTTTGAGGCCCTTTACCTGTAGGCCCGTCCTTGAGTCCCACTGCACCCAAAATCTTTAAAATCAGATCGATGCAAGAATTTACTCACTACTTTTAAAATGCTGCTTATCAAAGCTAGACTCATCCACTCGTTTACAATCTCATTTTGGTATCAACCACCAGATGGAACTGAGAAAATGCTCACATTCAGGATTATAGTTTTGTTGCTTCTTGGATTTTGTTTCGCAATCAAGAAGGGAGGCTGGATGTTCAACATCAGTGTCCCACGCCCATCTTCAGCTGGGTCTGGAATCCAAGGCTTTTGTACCAGACAATTGCTTACCACTGAGCTGGATGCCCAGCCTTCAATTTTCATCAAGAAATACTATCAGAACTAAAAATCTCATTTGCATTTAGATAATGTGAATACTTGGGGATGTCACATTTACTTGGTACTGGATACTTTTCTAGATAGGTAATAAAGAAAAATTTTCTAATTATTTACAACTACCTTTTAATTATTAAATGAGTGCTAAACATTATCTAAATAAACCTGTTATCTTTTCTTTGCAAAAGGTATTTACAGACCATAGTTCATCCATCTTCAACTGGGATAGCTGTGAGGATGGACTGGCCTACCTGGACTCTTGAAAAGACCAGGTATCCTCCAAAGATCACTTGTCCAACTATTAAATAACTTCCCAAAGTTCCACAGTAAAAAGAGGGCCTGGGAACCGTCTGGAGGGAACCTACATAATACAACAGGCATCTGCCCAGTAGGGCAAGTTCTTCCCCTCAGGGAAGCTTTAGGAGAGTAGACAGCATTTTAAAACACACGAGAAGCAAAGATGTCAGAGCGCAGCTCTTAGTACCAACTACTGAAAATTCCTATAAAGGGAAGATGAAGAATACTGGACACACACAGCTGTTGGTTTAAGACATCCACCCTGCTACTTCAGTGGTAACAAACTTTGGCTGGGAGCAGGTTGTGGGTCCCTGAGCTGTGTTGCTCACTGGGGCCTGCTTCCTCCTGCGCTATTTTAAGAGCTGCATTTATTTTCCCAGGTGAGTTGACATTTACTATTCACTTGTCACTTCTCTAAAAGGGACTGCTCCACAATGTGCGACTCGGCAGTGATGTAACGGGGTACTCACATGAGCTGTGATGAGCTTCCTCTGCCTCTGGGGGTCTGGAAACTCCTCACCGAAGCACAGGGTCACCTGGAATCTTGGTGCTGGCCGGCCATGGTGAGCAAACACTTGCAGCTCTGAGAACCCACAGGGGAAAAAAAAAAAAACTGCTCAGACACCTGGTAAAGCGGGCTGAATGAAGAACAAGAGCCACGTGTGATTCTGTCTCCCTAAGTGCAGCCCTTAGGGCAGACCCCAGACACCAAACCAAAACCACATGTTCGCGTTCACATGTGATCTCACACGCTCGTTTTACTTCATTATTCTTGAGGAATATGACCAAAGCGTAAGAACTTGGTTCTGCAGCCCTGGACTCACAGAAATGCACAAGGTCAGAGAAAGATATGAGGGAGGACAGAAAGGACAAAGAAAAGTCGTCTTGGTGAGGCAAACAAACAGCACAGGCAAAGGAGACATTTCAACTTCAAAAGTCACAATGTTCTGGTGGCCTGCGGTTATTTTTAAACATCACTGCCTAACCATGGAGGCCACGTGGTGTTTGGGCACCAAGGACATCTGTCTCCCACACCAGCTGTTGGCAGCTGTGTCCCACTTGGTACTAGGTCGAAGACTCCAAACTACAGACCTGAGGAGGCTTCAGTCTCACTTTGGGGACAGAATGATGCAGCGAGAAGGGGGCTGATGAGGCCCCTCTGGCAAGGCTGTGCCTCCTGAGGCTCTTCCTACCCGAGAGACGTGAACCAGACAAGAACACTGTTGAAAAGAAACCTGCCCATGGCTAGGGGCACTGCCACTGGCAAAGAACTTGCCTTCCATGTGCAAGGCCCTGGGTTCCATCCCCAGCACAGCTACAAAGAACAAACAGAAAGCCACAACCAATCATTGGCATTAACCCTTACTCTTCCTCCCGTCGCTGGCTTCCCAGAGTCTTTTCTGCATGAAACTGACATGAAGGAGCTGCCCTTGCAGAGCAGCCCTGAAGATTCTGCCCTTATCTGATACGAAGGCTCAACCCTATAGCCTATAGGGACTGTCCCTAATAGGGTGCAAATCCTGAATGGGTAGATATCAAAGATTTCCATTCCTCTCTGCAACTGAAGAGCTTCTAGAAGCTCACAGAACCGACTTCCTGCTTTTCTTTCTCTTTCTTCTTCCAGAATTCAAATCAAACCCAAATGGTTTAGTCACAATGTGTAAAGTGCATAGCCCCATGGCTGGGAAGACGCCTACACCACAGGCTAGTCAGAGCAGCAAGTGAGTACAAGTCTCTGAGAAAGCCCACCTCAGCTGCTAACTCAAGAACACTGGGTGGGAAGCCCAAGGTGCAGGGGCTGTTGTTCCTCTCAGCTGCCATGTTGGATTCCCTGCCTGAGCCTCAGTGAGGCCTGGGGACTGTGGAGGCTGTGGGTAGCATAAAGAACAGGTCCCACTACAGATGAAGGAACCAAAGATGAACAGCTCTTTCTTGTGGATAACCAATAAGTCCTAGAAAGTGAATTTCCAGCCCATGGTGTCCGTTCTACTATGGCACCTGCCTCCTGGATCCCCACTGGGAAAAGGAAAACAAGACTTGTGTACCTCCCATCCCTGTCTCTGGCAATTGTTATTGTTCTGGGTTACCTTAGTCAAGCAGAGAATTGGCAGTAGCTTTCTAGGGAAACACATGGGCAAATGTGTTTTTTTGTTTTGTTTTGTTTTTGCCAAACCCCAGGGCAAATATAGGATGTGCAGACAACCATCCCAAGAAGTTGCTTTTCTTTGCTTTGGACTATGAACACTAGAACTCAACCCAAGGGAGGCAAAACAGTCCCACCAAGGCTTAGATCATGCCCAACTCCAAGGATCTTCACCACGTATCCTTCACCTTTCTTAGGAAAGGATATTTATCAAGGAGCATGTTTGCTTTGGGAAATAAAGGAGCATTAGGAAGGAGTGCCTGAGCAAATCCTGGCCACTGGAGCTCAAAAGGCTGAGGAAATGCTACTAATAGCAAGAACACTGGAGCTTTATGTCTTCACTGTGAATGAATGGAAGGAAGAAGCACACTGAAGATTCAGTTGGCCTCTTTCTGTGTTCACAGCCAAGGCAGAGTAAATCAGTGTCGGCAAGACATCTGCCCTCCCGTAAGGTAACAGCACTAGTTAAAGCAGCTCAGATAAAGAGTCATCCCATGTGCCCACCAAGGAATACACGGATAAGGAGACTGTCATGTGGTATAGATAATAACAGATGATTACTAAGCCTTTAAAAAGAAGGAGGGCCTGCCATTTGTAACAATGCAGATGAGCCTGGAGAGCATCATGCTAAGTGAAGTAAACCGTGCATACAAAGACAAATACTGTATGATGCGCCCATGTGAACTCATACAGTTGAGCTCATAAAAGTAGCACTGTATGGGGGTCACCCGAAGCGGGGAGAGCCGAGGAAGCTGGGGGTCAAAGAATATAAACTCTCACTAAGACAAGAGGAGTTTGCTGAGCACAAACTCAACAATGGTATATCTTCGTGATTGTAATAATGGACTATGTACTTGAAAGTAGCTGAGAGTAGATTTCAAGTAGTGTTCTTACCAAAATAAAAAGAGATGGGCATGCAAGGTGATACACATGCTAATTAGTGCAATGTAGCCATGACACAGTGCACATACATTCTAAACCACCGTGGTGTGCATGGATGAGAGGAGCAAAACAAGTTCAGGTTCAAGAAATAGAAAGCACAGGGAAAGCCAAGGTGTGGGCTGTTTGGAAAGGGTATCAAGAAGAAAGCAAGCTCAGGATACAATGGGGAGACGGACAGCAGCCAGCAGAGCAGTCTACTCCCCCAAAGACATCCTCTGCTAGACAGGCAGGGAAGCTAATGGCTTCATGTAAGCCAGCCCCCGGCTAACTTACCAAATCAAAATTCAAACGATAAGAAGTATAAGTCCTGGAAAACATGACTAGAAGGCTTCATATGCCAGAGATAACGCCAAGCTTTCTCAGCATTTCCCACTTGCTAAAGCTGTTCCTTACACTCTCAGCCTTGGTCCCACCTGCAGTGTGGTACTTTTATAAGGTGACACATCTCATAACCAAGAATGTTAACAATGTGCTTCTAACCTTCTCAATTTTTCTAGGAACCCCTAATAAGCTGTAGTGTCAGCAGATAAATTTGCTGAGAGCGTAGAGCCAGTACAGTGGAACCTTGCTGGGGGAGAGAGGCACGTGCTGCTGAAAACCCACATTTTAATTCATTAGCCAGGTGTGATGGTGCACACATATAATCCCAAAGTATCTCCAGTTCTAGGCCAACCTGACCTACAGAGATCCTGCCTCAAAAAACGACTAATAATAATAATAATAATAATAATAATAATAACTTAAAATATCAACCTGCACCATAGTCTATCCTGCCCAGCTCATATGGACCTCTTTCTGGCCCTTTGCTAATAAGGGGAGCATGCAACAGACAAAGGTAAGACACAAACCAGGCAGAAACCATATTCCTGGGTGAGCTCATTGACCTCAGGAAGAAGACCCCTGCCTGGGGTAGACAGACCCTACAATATGGGACCTTCCTGGCCAGCACCCATTGCCACCTCCATTCTAGCAGACTGTGAGGTGTATTACCTGATAGGAACTGCTGTGTGTCAAAGAGCTTGCAAGTCTGGTCTCTTTCCAGTTTGTTGGGCCGATCACTGCACAGGGCCAGGGGCCCATCCCAGTAGATCCTGCTCTGGCAGAGTCTTTTGGCATAGAGCCCATCTGGGGCCATCCAGAGGACCAGTCCCCTCTCCAGGTGGCTCAACAGCTTTTCGATGTTCTTCCTCTGCCCACTGTCCTCCGGGTAGGGGAACAGGACCTGGTCCAGGTTGCTGACATCATAGGTATGTCCGTGGGAGATCCGGCAGCCTTCAGGGCTAGACGTGGTCAGCTCCTTCACAAGGATGTCCCGGTAATACAGGCAGATGTGCAGCCGGCAGTCTGTGAACAGAACTCTGGAATCAGTGCTGATGGACCTGGGACAGATACCACAATGCTCAGAGGCCCAAAGACTCAGTGACTACTACACTGATATGAAATACAGCAGGTGGACCACTAGAGTGTCAAGATGCTCCAGGGACAAGTAGGAGGTCCTAGGACCAAGGAAGTCTGGGAGATGTTAGCTGCTTTTGTCCCCTGCAGATTCTTAGACTGGAAAGACACTTATTTTTCTAACATGGCCATTTTCAAATGTTGACGTGGCCATTTACTCATCTTGGGGAGGGGTGTATTGCTTGGATTTTCAGCCCAATTTTACTAGACAGCACCTTTGTTATGAAGGTGTTTTGGGATGATGATGATGTTAGTAGTGATGGCATTTTGTCTAAAATATCAAGTAACACCACTGAATGGGAATTCATCTTTCAGCCAAATCAATTTTAATTTTGGAGTTCAACTCTAAGATTAATTTCTGCTAGTAAAAACTAGAGACATCTCAGAAGAAAAGCAAATGTGCTAACATTTGGAACTTCCCTAAAGCGTCACCATGATGTTGTTTAAGTAAAAACAAAACAAAAACAAAAACAAAAAAACCCACATAGATATGTTGGAGGTAAGCACTGAAATAAGAATTTCTGGCCTATGAAAACTGATACTTTTATTTTCTTATTTTAAGTCAATGTTCTTGGGGCAGGGGAAAGAACTGATGAGAAAATCCACTAAGAGCCAACAGTCAACGTTAAATCTCCTGAACCCCCTCTAAACTTCGTGTTCAACTTTGAAACGAACCCAACAACTTTATTTTCTATAGCTTTAAGACAGGAATTTATTGACAGATGATTTTATTGATTTCAGAAACCATTTGAAAACACCACCCACAGGCTTAAAGGGCAAGCTGGGTGTGCAAAGGGCTCCCCAGGCAGAGATGATGCCCGTGGTGGTGGTTGGAACCCAAACAATGCCTGGAAAGAATAGCTTTCTGAAAAGTGCACTCCGGGTTGATAATTAATTATGCAAACCAGAAAAAGAAACCCACAAAACCCTTGTATTCTTCAATGGTAGGTTCTGACACAGCCCACAGCATGGTGTCTTCCATTTCTGCCTCTATAAACAGCAAGTCAGGCAACGCACTCAAAGAGAGGAGGCGTTGGCCATCTGAGGTGACTGGTAAGGCAGGTTTCATTTCATTTAATGTCACCAGAATCACAAGATTGCTGAGATATAAATAGCTATGGATTTCCTACTCTTGGGGCACCCATACAAGTCTTAGATGTTCCAGAAGAAGGTCTTGAGCTTTCTAGAATCAGTGACAAGCCCTGATGCTCAGAAGTGTCCCTCTTCTGCCCTTAAGTGGCTCACAATGTCTCCCTGAGCATCAGATTTGGAAGGAACTAGGTGACCAGACTTCTTCTTCCCCAATAAACAAGGGAAGTGTCTAAAACTGTCAAAATGTAGTTGATGTTTTCAATCACAGACTTTTAAGGTGGCCATAGGCATGGTGAGAATTCTAATGTGCAAGCTATTTTTAATATTCATTCCCATTTGAAAGCATCAAAAATCACCTAAAGACTAAATAGACATAGGATGCATATTTCAAGTATGTTGAAGCTTCCTTAAAACATGTCAGCATCTCTAAGTGCAGTCTTAATTAGTAACAGAACTTTAAAATCAGATCAAATCCATGCATGCTCAAAAATTCTATTGAAGTTGTAAGGGGGACAGAGCAATATGGTCCTTTGGGGGCATAAGAACTTCTGAGAGACCAGGGTCCAGATCCAGTGTCCCTGGAAGCAGTTCAGGACCACCTCTTTGTGGCTAACTCTGAAAGGACAAACTGCATTTGGTAATGAAAAGCCCTTGTGCCTATGAAGTCTCTCTGCACTGTGAAGAATGTTGGCTGGAGGAGGAGCCTGGCTACACATTCCTAGAAAGGTGAGCAGGTAATGATGTAGAGGTTAACGACTTCTTTCAAATAGTGTTTGGCTAGCAGGTACTCCTGCAGAGATTTCTAATAGTGTTCTTTATTTGCTGTGATATTTGCAGAGCCTGGGCCATGCCTACTCCAGACCCCAGAGCCTGTAAGGTAAGAGTCTAAATCCTCACCCAACCTACCCAGAGGAGAGATGCCACCTCCCTCAGAGACTTAAAGGAAGCGCTACACTCACCTGAGAGCGCCAAGGCTTCAGCAGACCTTATGCTTGGCTCTATGGGGATTCCAGGAGCCTGGGACTCAGGTGGGGCACAAGCATAAAAGGTTCCTGTCACCTGGCAACCTGCATTTGCAAATAAAGATCAGATGACATCTAAGCAGAGAGTCCAAGTTCAGGGGGCCTCTTAAGTTGGGAGGAGCCATGTCCTGTCACCTTCCAAGCCAAGCTTGATGGGCTCTAAACGTCCACTACCAACAGAGTGTGTGATTATGAGGCTGAGGCCAAAGTCCAAGTTCAGTGGGAAAAATGCAGGGTGATGAAGGAAGGTGTCACAGCCCAGCTGTGGATGGAAACATGGAGCTTTCTCCATAACTTCTCAACAGGGAAACTGGGGCCCGGAGGTTGGGGGGGGCGGTATTTGTACCAGCTCACATAGCAAACTCCCAGCAGGACCAGAAATCAGATTTATATAAGGCTGGTTAAAAAAAGTAATAAACTATTTGATCCTCATTTATTCTGCTTGCCGTTTGTAAGCTTTGGGGGAAATTGAACCATGTTCCCTGGCGTCAGAGAAGTTACATCACACTAAACCAATAGTCTAAGCATGGGTGGCATGCAGGTGCTGGAGGGCGGTGAAATTGTGACAAGGAAATTATTTCCAGGATAATATAAAAGGACTACACGTGTGGTGACCTGTGTCAAGACTTCTGTTTAAATAATGAACTTGGAACCCCTAGAAGCTTGTTTTATGCCTAGCCTGGTGGCACAGGCCTGCAATCCCAGCTACTCAGGAGTTCAAGGCAAGAGGATCAAACAGCAATCTAGCCTAGGTAATTCAGCAAGACTCTCCTTAAAATACACAGTTAAAAAAGGGTGCAGGATATAGCTCAGTGCACTCGCCTAAATAAATACCAAATAATGAAAGCTTCGCTGAACATAGTTTGTGAAAATTTCTGTGTCCAGTCAGTTGGTATTTCTTCTGTGGGAGCTCATCTAGTGCCTGGGGGACCCTGTGGGTGTTCTGGAGCCTGACACTCCTTTGTAGAGAAGTTTTGTGAATTACTTTTGCTCTGGCCCTCCCTTTGTACCAAGAACAGCTACAAATGACTCATCACTGCTCAAGGGACATGAACTAACAATGATCTCCTGAAGTTACAGCTCTCCATCAGTAGTAAGGGACAATTCAGAGGGAGGACTGACAAAAATCTATCTATCTTAACACGACAAAGAAAGCAGAGTATTATGCAGAGTGAAAACATGTTAACCAAATAATTGAGACAAAAAAAAAAAGACAAGTTTTATAATTCACATCCATCGACATTGGACACTAGTAGATATCCATGCTTTTCTCTATTTATTAAAAATGGGGACATTTTCAGCTCCTTGAATGATTTCTGGGGTCTTTTAATTAAGTTCCCACACAGAGTGATGCCTATCATGGCTCTGAGGACTTCAGCATCTTACAGGATAAGGCAAGATTCCCTCCCTACCCCAACTTCATGTGATGTCTCTCTGGCATCTCTGTGGTAGGGGAAAGCCCTGTGGTGCTGCCCGGGAGGATCACCCAGGGTCACCCACACCCTGAGCCCAGGTTGTTCTTCTGTCTCCTTCCCGGATACATTCCTTACCATTTTCACAAGATGGGCCTTGCCAATGGTGGCTGCGGGGGCCAAACGTCACAGGACACTGATATGGGATTTCTGGATGTGACTGATCAGGGGCATAATCCCTCCAGCTTCTGTCATGAGGTGGCATCATGTAGTTATGAACCTGCTGACGGAGCACAGGGCATTGCTAAGAGGAAAACATCAGTGGGTGTTGGGGTGCTTTCTCACCACCCCAACTCCTCAGGGAACCCCTTTTTTGGCCAGCAGCCACGTCATTTTGTCCAAAAAGTAGCATGAACTGTCTACCACACTAGGTAGAAAACAGCCATAGAGGGTCTGAAAGCACAGTGAGGACATTGTGTAAATCTGTGATTTTTGTGAGGTTTCATCATAAGGCTGAGCCTGGCATCAAAAACACTGCAGCGAAGTCTGCCCTTTTTAAGCCACCAAAGTGAATAAAACAGTACTGTAATTCACATCGGGGAAGCTTAGAGAAGTCAGCTGCCCTGTGGTTTCACATGATAAAAGTACTACTTCCAAAGTCCTCGACTCCCACAAAAGGTCTCATTCCCAGAAGATGTGACCATCAGTAGAAGAGCACATCTCCATAGGTGGGACACATCAGACTCCCCAGCTTAACCACCAGGGAGAGTGACACCACTTTGAAACCGAAACATCCTCCTGTGACCAGGGCTTTGTTAGCATTTGTAGTAGCCATAGCAAATGGTAAGTCCTGCTATTTCCGTTTGTGTTTTCCCCTCTCTGTGGAGCCAACCAAAAGACCCAGCCTAACCTTCCACAAGCTCAACAGTCCCCCCATACCTGAGCTGGCAGTGAGCCATAAGGCGCTGTCATGGGGTAGGGGTGGCCCATGGCCATCTGTGTGTCTTCCAAAGTGAGCTGCTTTGCTCCTGTGTTTGGGGAAGAAGAAGAAGAAGAAATAGCACTAAAAGAAGGAACTGGCTTAACTGAATAGCAAATCTTAGAAAAATACCTGAGCACTTTATTCTTAGAATGCATAGCCATGTTAACCAATCAGGTGGGTTTTTGTTTGCTTGTTTGTTTTGTTTTGTTTTTTTTAAGCAGTTCCCTCTGGCAGTTACTTGTCTCTGATGTTAAACTGATTGAACAAGCTCAGACTTGTGTGTGACAGCCAGAGAAAGCAACACCACACAGGACTCTGTGATCCACCTAGTGGTTTCAGGCAGTGAGCTGGTGCCTAGTTGAGGCACCCTGCATGATTGGAACAAATGCATATCCCTGGCCTCTCAGCTAGACGCACCAGTCGGAATCTTTGAAAGAGGGAAGTGAAGATCTAAATTTTCATAAGTACCCCAGCAGGCCATAGAAAGAAACGCTGGCATTTTTATTACAATAAATGTGAATACTTATGGGGTGTGCAGTGTGCTTTCCCCTCTAAAAATTGCTTAATTATTAGAGGATATTAGGTAAGTAAAACTTTAATGGATCTTGCAGCTTTTGTTTGGAATTTTGGTCCACATCCTAATTGAATGGAGTAACTGGAAATACCTAACGCCTGCATGTGCATAGCCACGCGCCCACGGGCTTTAAAGTCTTTAAAGAAATAACCCTACATTAATACCACAAGGTTTTCACTTATAACCCAGAGAACATGGGCAAAGAGGCTGCTGGAAGTGGCCACGGGCAGGAGGTAGCAGTCTTCAAAACAGAAGTAGAAAGTGACCCTGAGTAGGAATTAAGGTTCCGTGAGTGTCCCACTGCCTCTATCCTGTGACCTACGTTGGGGAAATCCCCTACCTTTTTTGGCTCCTTCTGGAACAATCCTGTACACCTTGTAAGGGTCGGAGATATCCAGCTGGCTCCTCTCTACCAGCTCCTCGAAGTCATTGCTCTTGTTCAGAGCACATCTTAATCTTGTCTTCCAAGTAGGAGGATCGGGCTTGTCTATCCCTTCTCGGAACTTTCCTTTAAACAGTGCCCAGGCCTACGAATGAAGAGAAGGAAAGGTCAAAGTTCGGGGTCTTCAAAAGGAATCCATAGATTGTGTTTCTGAAAGGAAGATTGGTGTCTCAGATTTGCTGTTGGCCAAAATGTGGAACATGATGATACCGGAGTTCTCTAAGGAAATAACTTCTCACCCGGGACCCTGCAGTGAGATAGGGAGACCCCTAGTCTGGCCTATACGCATCCAGTGCCTGCATCAAGTGTGGACAAGACTAGGGGCAGAACTGTGGAAGGGACAGGCCCCAGAGAGGACATCTAAGAAGTCACACTGAGGTACTTTGAACAAATTCCCGCAGGAAGTCCCCTTCCCCTGCCCGACTGGCAGGTGGAGGCTGGGGGCTTCACAGTCCAGTGAGCCAGCTCTCTGGGGACATCAGTCCTAAGGGACTCACATGGTGGAGGCGGGGAGCTCCCAGAGGAAGACTTGGAATAGACCAAATCACCCAAGGAACAGAAACAGAAATGGAAGCTTCCAGAACTAGAACCAGACAGTAGGGGAGCCCAAAGAAACAAAAGCCAGAGGAACTCAGAAAAGTAGTGAAATAGGGAGTGGGAAGCAGAGTGCTCCTAGCAGTCTGTGGTGGCAGTGGCAGGAAACAGCCTAATGGGCTGTGCTACAGGACCCCAGCATCAGGGCACCACTGCGCCCGCCCGGGGATGCTCCTGGAGCTGGAAGTACTTTCCTCCACACAAACTTAGTGTAGGGACCCGATTTTCCGTTTGTGTGATCCCCGGAGAGCTTGCAGCCTCCTTCCCTTTTCCCGCGGCTTCTGTCAAGCAGGACCTGATGCTTGACGGTCTGGTCTCTGCCTCCCAGGGCCCACCCGACCTCCCGGTCCCTTGCTCTGGAGGCACAGTGAGTCCAGAGCTGTCTGACTCGCCTCTCCCCTCTCCCCGCTCTCCCCCGCCCTGGGATCCCCAGTGCTGGTAACCTTGAAGAGGGCGGCGTCCTCCTCGCGGTTGTAGTCCTGCTTGCCCGCGTGCTTCCACGGGATGCGGAAGACGCTCTTCTCCTCGTTCTCCCACACCAGCCCGGGGTACTTGCCGCTGTCGATCTGGTCGATCAGCCACTGGCGGAGTTTCCCGTTGCCGCAGCTCACCGCGCTCATGCCGAACTCTGCTCCCCGGCTGCCCGCATCCAGGTTCATGCCGCGTGCCAACCTCCTCCCGCGCTCGCGCGCTGCGGGGGAGATAAACTTCCCTGCAGCCACTGTCGCATCACTCTCGGGGCGCCCTGTCCCAAACTCTTGTAGTGACCACAAGGCCCCGGAGTCCCTGAGGCTGCGAAGTGCTCGCGTGCAGTGCCAATGTCGCCAGGGTCCCCCAAAAGAAGGTACTTTGGAGAAGGTGTGGGGAGCATCCCTTGGCACGCACCATCCCCAAGGTCGGTCCTCTCACCCCATCTATCGCAAGCTCCTAGACACACTTCAAGTCTTGTGCCACCACCCTGGGCGTCCCGTCTGCTTACTCACCCCTCTCTGCCCGCTCCACGCGGCTTTCACCCCACTTTTACCTCACTTTGTTTCTAATCTCGCCTTTTCCCGGGTTCAGGCTGCCCTGGCGGCCCCGGGCACGAAGGACCTGGCACGTGGACTAGCCCCTGTTCAGGTCCTGTGCCCATGCCTTGTAGGTGTGGAGCACCTAGCTCTCCTCTCCCTCGGCTTTTTTTCTCGGACATTCTCACGCTGTCCCCGGGGTAACACCAGGCCTACCTACCCAGCCAGAGACAATTAAATGGGTCCTGGAAGCAACAAGTGGAAGTCTGGGTATGGGGCTCAAGAAGCGGGAGACTCCAGTCTGCAGAGGGTCAGCGCGACCCCAGGCGGGGATGAAGACGTGACTAGGAACACTGGGTGCTGCGGACAGCAACACCAGCTCCCCTGCGCGGGAAGCGAAGGAGGACGTGGGGGAAGGGGCTCAGCGCCCCGAGTTTGGAGCTCCTAGCTCTCCTTGACCATCCGACCTAGGAATCGCGCGCTGGAGCCCTCTATGAGCTTGGGTCCCTTATGAACCAGTATTGGGAAAGGAGCTTCCAACAGGAGCAGACAGGGTCAGAGGCTGTACCCCTGCGGACAAGCTGCTGCCAGTGCGTGATCCTCTGATCTCAGGACAGTCCCGTTAGCTCGTCCCGCCCAGCCCGTGGGGATGCTCTGGAACGCCCGTTCAAGTAGCCTCACACAGAACCAACAGTGCACAAGTCCCGGGCCAGCGCAGATTGGGGGAGCCGGGGCCCCCTATCTTGCCACGTTCCCTCAGAGCTTGGGCTTGGAGATGGAAGATGGGCTGCTCGTTCCCGCCCTGTCCTCTGTCACAAGCCTCACACTCCTCCTTCTGCCCGACTCCAGGTCTTACCTCACCCGCACTCTGAGCTGAGGGCAGCAAAGGGTCCCAAGTTCAAGTGGTGAAACTCGGAAAGCGAGGTGAGAAAGAGGAACTTTATAGAGCCGGGGGGCGGGTCTCGGCGCTGGGCGGGGCGGGGCGGCTCCGCCTACGAGGGCGTGGCTAGCCTAAACCAGGACCCGCCCTCCATCCCCGGCGGGTGCCCCGCCGAAACAGGGTATCCGGCTGGGACAGGAGCTTCGGACTGTAGCCCACCGGGTCAAAGGCTGTCCTCTTGCGAACAAGCTCTGACCTTCTCCAGTCCCTCTAGTGGAGGGAGCTTGGGACTCTGACACACTGGAAAATCCTCAGCCCAGTGGGACAGTCACTATGGCCTGTTCCAGTGGAGGACCAAGCTCCCAAAGGGAATCTCTGCTCCATACTAGAACTTGCACCGAGACTAGCTGATAACTAGAAACCGCTCAACTCTACCGGCGGCGTGGCCAGGGCGGGAAGTGGTGGAGGGTCTGGAGCCCAGGCAACTTGGTTCTCACAGCACGTGACAGAACAGACTGAGAGGTGAGGGGCGGGGGGCATCCTTGGAACCGTCAACCAGGAGCTCTGTGTCTCCACAGTGTTGAGAGAATATCACGCTCATTAAAAAGAAAATAGAAAGGCAAGTCCATAAACCGTGGTCCATATACTGTGTCTGAAACGCTTACACCCTTAGGATGTATGAAACCGATGAATTGAGATGACTCAGACAACGCACTGCCCCCAAAGTTTCAATCGTGGCAACATAAAAGAGATGGGGGATCCCTAAATACTCAGGTAGTTAGCACTTCCGGATGTCAGTTCACCTTAAAATGATAGCTCTAACCTCAGCCTCGTGAGAGGCAGTTACCCAGCAGAGTATGAATGCCCAAACAGGAGTTTTCACTCCTGGCTTTCTCCAGTCCAGCTTGGATTGGATGCCTGCAAGATGTTTGTTTACTTGATATTTTCAGGAGAGCAGTCAGATCGCCAGTTTCTGTATGATTTTAGATCACAGCCACCACAGGACAACCTGGAACGTTCGTAAAGCCTTTTCATTTTCACTTATTTCTCGGTTTTTCCTTTAATCTTCTACCATGGGTCCTGGACTTTAGAAGAAACATCTGAGTTGGGCCACCGCAAAACAGACACCGTGATGCCCACAGGTAATGTTTTTTCCTGATACCAACAGGCTTTCTCAGAAATTAACAGGATGCTATGTCTTTATTGCACCCCAGTCAGTTTTCCATTGTCACAGCCTGGGTAGTAAACAACAGAGTTTCGTTCAAAGAAAATTTTGGTTACGCCCGTTTTCCCCTCTTCTTCCTTCACAGCTTCATTCATTCAAAAATATTCTTTGAACACCTTCTGTCTGTTGGGAACTGTCCTGGTCGCTGGAGACACATCTCTGAGCAAAGTAAAGATTGCTACTTCAGATAGCTCTGCATTGCCGCCGGGGGAATTACTTTTCTTCAAAGAGTGCACAGATAGGAGCCTGCTGGGAGCAAAAACAGCACAGCAGAGATGTCTCTGCACTTTCACACATGTGTCCTCTGCCTCTACTTAGACCGTTTCAGCCTTTTCCTCACCCATCCACATCCTCTGTTTTCAGAAGTCTGAACAACAGTCATTACAAGAAACCTTTTGAGACTTCACATGGCTATCGCATTTAAAGATATGATTACTAATCTTCAACGCCATCTTCTGGTTTACTCGTTTGTTGTATGGGTGCCCTAAAAGTGATATTTTAACGACGAGGTGAGTGCAAACAATAAACTATACGAACCATTAAAACTTTCTATTTTATTAGCACCCTTTAATTGCACACAGTAATGGGTTTCTTTATGACATTTCCATACACAGATATAGAATACTCAGATCTATTGCCATTTCTTACCACTCACCCGTCAGGCTTTCTCCTTTGTCCCACATCCTTAAGCAGGCCCCCCTTTTACTTTCATACTTTTGCCCCAACACGTGAACGCATGTGAGACACATGTTTGAGAAACTGGCTTATTTCACACAACACTTTGAGGTCCCTTCCCAGCTATTCCTTGTGAACAGCATGATTTTGTTTCTCTTTTTGGCTGAATGAAATTTCCTTCTGAAGCACTGAAGTTCTTGGCATTCGTCCCTGGGGGAGAGAAAGGAGTGACCACGTAGGGGCTGCCAGCTGCTCACTGAGGACTTCTGAGGTTCAAGTCACAGTTGACAGAAAAAGGACAGTCTTGAGAGTAAGAGATCCTCATCCTCTTTCCCACCGAGACGCGAGAAGACCGATACGTTCCACAGTGAAGCAGTGGGCAGTCGTTCTAAAATGTGATGGAAATTAGTTCACTGAGCACCCATCCCAAAGGCAGAACTCTGTAGTCCACACGGAGATTACTTGGGGTTTTTGGCTAAAGAGCCAATGAGCCGGGGAGCAGGGGAGCAGGTCTGACAGGGGTGAACTTTTCATTCACACGTACCCCTTAAGGATGTGGGAAAAGGAGAAAGCCCGAGGGCTGGGACTGTGAGAAGAGCTGAATAGACCTAAATTCAGTACTTTAAGAGTTGAGCTCTTAAAATTATACATTCACATGTAAGAAAAATGGTTTACGGAGCCCATATTAGACACCCAAAAAGTCATTATTTGGCCAGGGCTGTCTGTACCTTGGCAGTAGAATGCTTGCCTAGCTCACGACAGGCACTGGGTTCAACCCAGCAACCCAAAGCAAAGCAGTCACCCTTCCAAGAGGCCGAGACCTTTTGGATAAATGTATTTTCTCATGAATTCACTCCTTAAAATGAGAACAATTGGTTTTAAAAAAAAAAAAAACAATGAAATTCTGTCCTTGGAAAAAATTAATGTAACTGTTTTTAATCATTTGTAAAAACCAAAAATTAAAACAGGAAAGTTTTTTTTTAATGCTCTATTGTTTTGATGCAGGTTGCTTCCAATTAAAAAAAAAATCTGGTATCCTGACTCCACATGTGTGAAATGCTAGGTGTGACCTCTGACCAGTCTATGGTAAGTGTCAGGGAATGCCAGGTATGACCTCTGACCAGTCTATGGTAAGTGACAGGGAGGAGGTGATTAGAGCTCATGGGAGTGAAAGCTTGGATAGTGATCTAACTTCCCATGATCAAGAGTGATGGCAACCGCTTCTGTAGTGTCCTGACATGAAATTACGTACATCACTAGTGTTCACTCACTTGGAACTGTGGCTGTTTGTATCCTATACCAGCACTTGAGAAGTGTCACAGACATAATGACTTTTATCCTTCAACCATACCTGCGTGATGTTCAGGGCACCACATAGTCAGTTCAATTGTACACACGAGGAGAGAGATCCAAAAGGGCATCTCTGTGACTTGCCCATGAACTCAGCTTTTGTGAACCAGTCTTTCCCATTTATACATCTGTTTGCTGCCCCTGGGGTTAAAGTTAGGGGATGGGGAAATGACTCCGTGGGTAAGAGTGCTTACTCTGTGAGCGTAAGGATTCGCACTAAGTTCAAGTCCTTAGCACCCATGTAAAAAGGCTGGGCATAGCTTTGTGTATGTCTAACCTCAGAATTGCAAAGCTGAGATAGGTAGACCCCAAGAGCTGAATTGAACATTCTTAATAAAGCGATGCATTATCGGTCAATAATTCATACAACTATTTTTTTATGCAGCCCTGAATGTACCTTCCTAACTGAAATCGCAAAATGCTGAGTGTTTCGGTGATTCTTCACATCTCCAGTTTCAAACATCCCCCAGACTATCAGCCACTGAGAAGCAGAAGCTGCTGTGAATACAGTTGATGCCAGGAGTCGATATACGTGGCTCTTTTTTT